AGAATCCCATTGATTTGTTAATTGTAAGCAGACATCAAGGGGTGAATAGCAACTGGAAAAACTCGAAATGACAGTTCTGGACAGAGATAGTCAGAGAATGCTCGTGGCACGCTTATGGTTGCTCATGAGAGATATTGGGCGCAAGTTAGTATTTAAGTAAGGTTCCGCATAACTTAACAAGTTGATTTGTAATCGAACATGGTAATGAACGCCACTTACAAAAAACTTTAATTCCTAACTCTCATATATTCCCGATGCACATTGAACACTGGAAGCCCGATCAAGTTCTACGGCGAGACTAAAGAACATGGACGACCTTTGAACGAATCTTAAATGACCTTGAGAAATATTAGCCAATCAGAAGATAGTTAGTGTAAAGTAAAAATTTATCATACAAAACCAAAGAATTAAAGTGGATACTGTTCTCTTACATGAGTTAAAAACTTATCAAGGTTGGAATTAGGTTCAGAAGTTCTAAAATCATATTGCATGCGGTAAATGAATTCATTCATATGGCTCCACAGTAGTCTGCCTCTGGAGCCATGATAGGGTCTTAAAAACTCTTTCAGTCTTGACCACATAGCTTCTATGTTGTTAGTGTGCTCCCCAGTAGTAGGGTCAACGAAATGGTGCTTATGTATAACGACTTCATGCACATATCCCAGTCTACCTAGACACCTGTACGCTCTCCAATCATCTGTATAAACAGTAGTGCCCAGCAGCACATATTGCTGTATAATCGGTATGATTTTTGGTGCCTGCCCGTTCCTGACTCTTTGAAAATGTTCTTTTTGTAATGATCTATCATATATTCCAAGGACCTGTGAGGTATATTTATGGAAGAGGTACTTACCCAATCTTCTTTAATACAACGGCCACGGTTGTATTTTCGTTTCCTTACAACCGTTTCGTCTATTTCAACAATGTTCCCCACTCCTCCATACAATTGCTGTACGATTGTCAGTTTTGTTTCACAAATATCTCGGCAAAACTCGTACCATTGAACTGCCGAAACTTCGCTTACATCGGCAAAGGTGGCAGCTAGTGTTACCGGTGCTTTTATTATCCAATTCGCAACAAGTATCATAATTTGTCTCAACCTTAATTTTGACCGAGCGAAAAAAGTCCCTGTTCGAGCTGATTTCTTCTTCCATCATGAAGAACATCGAAAGATAATATCATCACGATAGTCTGCACACCGTAAAATGGTCATTCGACTACTGCAGTCACAAGTATAGGAGCTTCTTAATAATCCCTATTCTTGTAGTCGCTCAATTATCACGTCTTCTCGAAAATCCGCTGTAAAGCGATCGTACGTAAGCATCATGTTCCGAAATTACCACCGTGACCTTGAAAACCCGCGAAAGCTTCTGATTGATTCGTCCACGTTCTTTAGTCTCGCCAGTTCTACTTCTCGAATCTAATTCTAAATGTAGTGTGCAAATCTGATGGAAAGTTTACCAATCTACATTATTTACATGACGATTTCACTCTCTCCTTTTTTAACCAGCTTCTTGGCTCTGAAGACAACAGCGTTGTCGTCTTATTAAAAAATTAATCAAGTATTTCATTAATCTTCCATTATTATCCAGAGGCCTTAAAAATGCTTGACTACTGGACACAACAGGAGTGTTCGATCTATCAAGATGGTCTTTGTATCCGTTAAAGGCTAATAGTTTTGTTGAAAAAGATATGGAGGACATTGATTGTTATCTTTTCTTTTTTTAAGCAGTGTTCGTCCTGAAGATAGACCACATTTCTCCATAAAATCACTCCCTATTCTATTCGAACTTCTGTACCATGTTCCTCTATGGTAGTTTAGGGATTTCGATGCGTAAACTGTTGCTTCAAGTTTCTTAGCTCTCCCATTAAACTGAACATAATTATTCTAGTGAAATATAGAAACCCACATAGCTCAACGACATACATGCATGGCGTAAGGTTGTAGAAAATGTGGTGACCGGCCAACATAGCGAACACCTTCCACTAAACAGAAAACAAATAACACGTACAGTTGTTAGTACTAGACATTACAATCTGATGACGCTATCGTAGAAGATAGTGTTTAGACAGGTGAATAGATGAAGTTTTTGGGATCTATGACCTTCACCATTACTTGTGCAAATATACTTCAATGTTCAATAAGAATGGTTTTTATACATTCATAAAAACTTTTCTTTATCAGAATTAGGTTGTAAAATGTATTTTAATCTAATGGTTTTATTGTTTTGCTTATACTCTTTTCTTTTGAATATCTTTTATCATTAGTCGTGTTGTCTTTAATGGTTGTTCTTTATTAATGGGATTGTCAGATATTTATTTTTATAGTTAAAATCATGAGTTAATTAAAGCTAGACCACTATGGAAAACCTGGAAGCACTGGGCGGCCGTTTCATCTTATTATGGGACTCCTCAGCAGTGCGCATCCACGATCTCGCACTCGCGAGATTCAAACCCAGGACCTACCAGTCTCCATGGTGGTCTAGCTTCAATTGACTCACGCTTTCAACTATAAAAATAATAAATCTCCACAAAACCCCTTCTGATAATTTATTTTTATACCATCTTCTCTGTGAAATACTTTAATCAACTTAGATGTGAATGATATGAGGTTGACCGATTTCTTATTAAATGAAACCAGTTTCTTTTGTTGGTTAAGTTTATTATAAGATGAATGGTAGTAGGTTTCTCCCTTAGTCAATTTCAGTTAATAATTTTATTGATTTGATAATCCAACTTTAAGGTGTGATCTGTTGTCGGCCATTGAATTAGTCTTTTATGATGTCTTTGTCTTAGTATATATGATTCTTTTAATCTCTGACTATCTTAGATATGGATTATCTTAGTTTATGAAATGATCAGGTTTTAGAATTCATTTTGGAAAATTACTCATTCTATTGCCTATAAAAACTCTATATACAATTTCATGATTTATAAAAATGATTATAGTTCAGTAAATAGTCTCATTTTTTGCTAGTTTTCTGTTAATTTGGTGTTTCTTTCTCTAACCCTCAAAGGTAACTCCTAAACTGGTGGATAATGATATTTAGTTTCTTCTCAGACAGCTTGCCTTCTGGAGCTATTTATATAACCGTTCTATATGAATTGTCAATTGGTACATGTACGTTCCAAGTTAAAGTAAACTAAGCTACTGATACTGTGAATGTAATTGATTATTGTTAGCGTTGACAGTATGTATACCTCTTGGATTGTAAAATCTCAAGTAGTAAAGTATGTCAGTCCTATCATGAGTGGTTTTTATTGAGTACATCAAAATTTTATCTATATCATTCTGAACTGATTACATACATTTCTCTAATTTTATATTTTTAGATAATATAAAGTCAACTATGCTTAACAAGCAAAGTGGATTCAGTCTCCTTCATTCATTCCTATAATTAATCTATAGTAATTAGAAAATCAACAATGATAATTTGGCAATCAATTTATGGTTGAAATCATAAATGAATTGAAGCTAGACCACCATGGAAAACATGGAATGACTGGACGGTCGTCTCGCCCCAGTATTGGACTCCTCAGCAGTGAGCATCCAAGATCACGCCTCTCGAGATTCGAATGCAGGACCTACCAATCTCGCGCGAGCGCGTAACCTCTAGAACCACTTGGCCGGCATCCAACGGTGTTAATTTCTAACTTCAATCAATCCACGAAATTGAGCTACCGTCCACCATTGTCTCTAGTGGGTTACGAGCTCACGAAAGACCTGGTTGAACTCCACTGGTCACTACTTCTCACTTGAATTCCAGGAAATACCTCTTGGAGCCAGTCACTAATGAGCATATGATCATTATCATGATTCCAACCATAAAATTACTAAAATCTCCACAAAACCCTCTTCAAATAATATTCTGTTTATAAGATCATAATATGTCCATTTGTTCAAATGGTTTAACAATGTAGTGTGATATGTATAAACTCCTGTATTCAGGTTAATTGGTAGTTTGAAATAATTCTTAAAGTTTATCCGATATCATAAACTTTATTAATCTTAACTAACAATGATAGTAAATTAATGAAATCAAGTTTAAAAGAAGTTTGATGGTCTGGTCTAAATCTATATTCTCATTAACTTCTTGAAATAAATGATTCATGTTCAACTGAATATTATGAACTTTATACATAGTTGATAAATGTAACTAATATAAAGCATCAAAAATTTCTTAGTAGAGAATCCTTTTATCAAATAAACCGACTTTTAACAGACCATTTTGTTGAACGAACTCATCAAGAAAACTAATACTGATCTCATTTTGTTTACTTAATTTTTATTTAGATTTGAGTTTTAACCATAGTTTACTCATTTGGATAGTATTGAAATAGTATAAAGTTATTATTATATATTTCATTTTTAAAACCTAATGTATCAGATATCTCTAGAATGTAGATTTTCAAAGAATTCTTTGATTGAGTTTAGATGTAGAAATTCCAAGTAAATACGTTGGCATTAAGTTAAAACTCAACTCACATACAAATTTAATTTCTATGTAGAATATACATAGAGGGTTTCCTTTTTACTTACTTACGCCTGTTACCCCCAATGAAGCATAGGCCGCCGACCAGCTTTCTCCAACCCACTCTGTCCTGGGTCATCCTCTCTAGTTATACCGAATTTTTGTTCATTTTTCTCATGTCTGTCTCCATTTCTCAGAGTAATTTGTTCTTTGGTCTTCCTCTCCTCCTTTGACCTTTAGAATTCCATGTGAGAGCTTGTTTTTTACGCAATTGGGTGATTTCCTCAATGTGTGTCCTATCCACTTCTAGCACTTCTTCCCGATTTCTTCCTCCAATGGATGGAGTTTGGTTTGTTCTCTCCCACAGTAGAATTTTACTGATAGTGTCTGGCCAATGAGACCGAAATATCTTGCGTAGACGCAAAATAATAATTAGCTCTAGGAATGTATCATTTTATCAACTATTAACATATCTTCACATCTCTTGATGAATCAAATTAAATAAAAACAAAACTAATCAAATTTTAACCAGTAGTTAACAGTTTCGAATCTGTTACATTTATAACGATATGAGCCTTTATACAGTATGACACAAAAGATGAACACACCACCCTGTACTTAGAAAGTAAGTTACATAAACATAGTAACTAAAACAAACTAATTTGTATAGAATAAATAACACCATATAGTATGCAGCTAATTAAGTGAATGATTTTCATATTTATGTATATATATTTATATATTTAGGATAAATTTAATCAAGTAATGTATTTATTATAGATCACAGTAAAAATGAAAGAATCACAATTACAATATAAGTGGTATAGAAGGAAACTGTTTTAGAAAATAATATTTCAATGATAAGTAAAAATTAATTGAAGAGTTTAATAAATAAACAATGTTTTTTTTTCAAAATTTCATTTGAATTAATTTTGGAGTAAAACATCATAAGATAATTTTGTTTTTAGATATGATAACTACTAATTTCACAATTAAGTAGTATAAACAATTTAGAATAATTTTGAAGACGAGCACATTTAGATAGGGTACAGATCAAACTACTATTTTTTTTCTTTTAAAATAAATCTTTCATGACTAACAATAAGTAATAGTTATTTAAGAAGAAGTTACTGAAGTGAATGGTGGGGCTTTGAAGATAACATTTTTGTCACTAGGTTTAAAGGAAATTCACTTTTTGTTTTAATTTATTGAATCAATATTGACACTTTTTTAATCGATAATTATGATGTAGGTGTTTTTGGTTTGGCAAAACCCAAATTACTTTGATTAAATACTACGCTACCTAAATTTCCATAACTTTCAATGACAATTTCACCATTAGTAAACTATGAAGAGAAAAGAAAGAATAAAATTGGATGAAAATCACATTTAAGTCATATATATTCCCAATAATAATTGTAATAAAGTTAAGCAAAGATGGATAGTGGCTAGCAGTGGAATACAGGATGCGCGTTCCGTTTTTTTTGTGACGTGTGAGCCGGATGTACTTGCATCTCAGAGTTGATGTTCACTCCAGGACTCGAACCCAGTACCTTACGCTTCAAACACCATCGGGTTATCCACTCGGCCACTGAGTCCTGATAGCCACTTGCTTGTGCAATGAGGTGAAGTTTGAAATAAAGTTAATGTGTGCAAATATATTTCATCGGAAAGGGGTTTTGTGGAGATTGTAGTAATTTAACAGTTTAATTCATGAGTCAATTAAAGCTAGACCACCATGGATTCAAATCCCGTGAGCGGTATCGTCGATGCGTACTGATGACGAGTCCCATACTAGGACGGAACAGCTGTCCAGTGCTTCCAGATTTTTTGTGGTGGCCTAGCTTTAATTAACTGATGAATTCATCTATCAAATATATTTTAGTAAATCTCTAGTTTGATTTAAATGGATAATTATGTATAACATATGTACAAAGCCTATATGTTTAACTATAGACCTATTTCATCGAAAGTCAGATAGTATACGAATTTACAATTATATTAAGTCATCAATGAGCCTTGTAGCTGAATGCCAATAATAATTTGTCCATGATAGTAGATTTAAATGATTTAGGAATGAAATGTGTAACTATCCTCATGCATTCCGATTCTTCAAGAAGATTAGTCAGTAACTAAGCACAGAAGTTCCTGAAATTCCGTGATGTCATGCAGTAATGAGCCATTTTATCAATTCCGTAGATTTTGTTCATTAAAACTAGCTCTCCTCCTTTGCCTAGCTTACTTATGATTAAAGTATACACTCTTTCAAGCTTTTGTAGAGCTTCTCAGTTTTATTTGACCAGTAGACACTTCTTGACTTATTCGTCATTTTAGTGTTATTAACAGCTGTTAATCAACAAGGTTTTAAACCTTGATTGAGATTGGAATTGCATCCATTTTTGTAAAAATTAATCCTAAAAGGGCATGTCTGTTTGTTCAAAGGTCTCAAGTTCGGACTTTCTCTTATATATGCATTCGCCGTATCACAAATAAACACATTAACTAAAAGTATTTTGTAGTTTAAACCTCGAATTGACCTCACCTAGATCATCACTGAAAAATTGTTAGGGTTACAATGTCATTTTGTCCTAGTATGGGACATCAGTGCTCACAGGTTATCAATGGCAGTCCACCTACGATTAGTCCGTGCTTGAACTATGAAAATCCTACATTTTGTACAAATCCTCCCATACCAATAAAGCATTTCAACTAAAAAAAAAGATAAATGAAATCAATTATTTTACCTGAATATTCATACCAGAACAAGCTTCACGTAGTGCTGTAAGAAAATTATTCACATCGTATGCAGATACTGGATTAGATAAATCTTCATAACCGGCACCTGGTACATTTACTTGTTTTGATGGCAATTGATCACGTTTAGAATAGAGAGGATGATGAGTTAATGTAGCATAAGGTAGACTACGACATAACGGATTCCATTTCTGTGTGATTTTCACATCATTTTCATCACCCCATTTCAACTGAACACCAGGTGAACTACGTATACTAAATGTATAGATAAACAATTCTGTATACAATTTAGTTAAAAATTTGTACATTGAAAATCGTTCGATAGAATACATAATGAAAAGATTTAAAAAACTGGTTTATGTTGCCTTATATAATTGTAAGCCATTTGTTTGACTATAAGACACTATGAAATGATAAGAAACATTAAATTTATACTATTCTATAACAAAAATGACTCTGCATTTTGTCAGCATCTTCACCAAATAAAGCTATGTCGTCGGCGTATTCTAAGTCAATAAGTGAGCGTCCCGGTAAAAGTTCAACTCTTGGAGATTGAGATGATGAAAGTGTTATCTCTAAAAGCATGTCAACGACAAAGTTAAACAAGAATGGCGAGAGTGGACAGCCCTGACGAACACCACTTGCGGTAACCAATTCTGATGACATTTCGACATAAAATCTAACTCGACCAGTTGTGTTCGAGTAGAGATCCATGACAATTCATTTTAATAAACATTAGGGATTTCAGAAACTTGGAGACTACAACTGAATTGACCTTTATCGGTTGTTCAACAACGTGATTTAACAATATTATTGCTTTTTCTGTTACGAATTGATATAAAACTGAAGAAAAATTGGAAAGTATGAAACACTGGACAGCTGGTTTGTCTAATTTTGGTATTTGTAGTCGTCGATGGATTCTGTATAGGATGACACTCATTATATAGGGAACTGGCTTAAGTTGAAAATATAAACAAACGGATCCCAGTAAATTAGTTAGGAGGTTGTGATTTTATCACGATTCACCAATGTCCTGAATTCATATTTTATCACAGTCATAAACGAGGACTGTTGGTGACCGACTCCTTAGGAGAATCATCCGTTCAGTGCTCATTGGTCTAGTATGGTTTTTCAGATTGATGAAATACATCTTTACATCGAACCAATTTTCGAAATTCGATAATTTCAGTCTAGTTTCATTTGATTTGGAGGATAGGTTTTTATTATCATCAGTATAAAAAATCAACTACAGGGTAATGTTAAACAGATTAAAGAACTCCGTAGACACCCAAATTTGAGACCAACAGGCTGGATTCCGTAAGAATCGATCTTGTACAGACCAAATCGCAACTTTATGGATCATTGTGAAACAATCGATTGGATGGTATTCATCACTCTACATCAACTTCATTGACTACTAGAAAGCATTTCATAGCGTGGACAGGATAACACTATGGAGGCTTCTTCAACACTACGGCATGCTTGAGAAGATATTCAACATCATACGGAATTCCTATGATGGAATAAACTGCGAAATCGTGCATGGAGGACAGTTGACATACTAGTTTGAGGTAAAGACCGGTGTCAAGCAAGCTTGCTTACTCTCAACGTTTCTCTTTCTACTGGTGATCGACTGGATCATGAAGACGTCAACATCTGGAGGGAAGCACGGGATACATTGAACTGTTAGGATGCAGCTGAACGATTTAGACCTACTGTGGGAGAGAACGAACCAGATTCCATTCAGCAGAGGAAGAAATCAGGAAGAAGCGCTGGAAGTGGATATGACACACATTGAGGAAAGCACTCAACTGCGTAACAAGACAAGCCCCCACATGGAATTCTGAAGGCCAAAGGAGAAGAGGAGGACCAAAGAACACATTACACCGAGAAATGGAGACATACTTAAGAAGAATGAACAAAAATTGGATAGAACTAGAATGGAAGACCTAGGATACATTGGGTTTGAGAATGTTGGTCGGCGGCCTATGATCCATTGGGGGTAACAGGCGTAAGTAAGTAAGTAAAAAATCAAATAAAAAATAATTATACAAAATCACTTACGGCATTAATGATTTTGCTGGAAATACAAGTGGTCCAGTTATGACACTAATCAATTGTCCAAGACCTACACGACGACTATCACGTACACGACATTGAAGAAAATCATATCTTAATATATAGAAGTTTCTTTCAGTTAATACAATTAAACGTTCGTGTTCATTATTCCAGTGATCAATGCTACAAAATTATGTTTGAAATATTATTAGAATTAGGAACTAGATTTCCGTTCAAATATCTTAGTTCACTACAAACCATTGAACTACTAAGTGTACTATTGATATATAAGACCAGTTGATACGATACAAACTGTAAAATAAACTTCTATACAAAGTATCATAAGCAAAGATGAATAGTGACTAGCAGTGGAATCCAGGAAGCGAGTTTCGTCCTATTTGGGACTCGACAGCTGGATGTACCTCCATCTCAGAGTTGATGTTCACTCTGGGACTCGAACCCAGTACCTTTCGCTTCAAACACCATCGTGTTATTCACTCAGCTTCTGAGTCCTGATTGCAATGGGGTGAAGTTCAAATTCACTTGGTATTGCTTGTTTGATTCAGGCACAACCAGATGACGAGTCCCAAATAGGACGAAACACGCTTCCTGGATTCCACTGCTAGCCACTATCCATCTTTGCTTACAATGCTTGTGAATTAAGGCTATATCGAGGCAATAAGCACAGTAAGCATATATGCCAATTACAGACTGACTAGTTGCAGTCCTAAGCATCAATGGGAAGATTAAAACAAACAATACTAAGTGAATTCTATACAAAGTGTTTCCATTTAACCAATAAAGAGAGAAATTAATTATCAATGACTTGGTTTCTTCATTATTCAGATTAATAAAAAGAATAATAGACCCTAACATTATCCCTTTCTATCTCTGTACGTTGTTGGTAGTTATCATTCTATGTGAATTATACTTTGTGAGATAATGTTGATTAGTAAGACTTGTGAAAAGTACTGTATTATGATAAATATTTGTTTAAACTTACACGGAAACGAGCCTCATCATTGTTACTAGGATCAGTTAGTTAGATCAAACTAGTGTTTAGGAAGACTTTCGTTTACTCAACTCTTGATAATATGATTTTACTAGCTAAATAAATTCAAAACCACACGTCATTCATTCCTGTTCCTAAGATTTCGTAGAGACTGTTTTTCAAGCAAGAAACAGGAATGTACATGTATAGAGTATTGATGGTGCTTCCGTTAAACTTTATCGACAAACACTGTCACAAATTAAACTTGTAGTATCGATTGCTATGTTAACCCTATACAGCCTATTCTAGCTTCCGGACAAGCCAAATTATTCATTCTTCTAAACCACATCTTGACCTTGTTAGTTATTCGATTATCAACCTTGACTTTTCATATGAGAATAAGTGTGTGCATTTCTTATCTCACTCATTACATGTCTGTAACTTATTTTTGTCTGACGATAAATAACGATTCACTCTTCGTTAAATCAAGGTGGCGCACTCGCCTTCTCCACTGCGTGTCATTTCGCTTCTCTTTCTCCTCTTCGCTCCGTTTCTCTGATTGTCTGTTCTGATCAACGATTGTATAAAATATACGTATTCAAAAATTTATTCTTGTTTTTGACTTATTTAATTCCGTTATTCACTAATACAATTTAATTAGATGATTATATACGAGGATTGACGACATGTATACTTCAATAACATTCATACGATCCGATTGGAATCAGATATCGGGCCACAAAAAACTTTAAAATCTGATTTTTTAAAATTATTAACCAGTAAAATCATTGATTTAGTTAGTGACTGAAGATCTCCTTAGTTTTAAAAAGAAGAACGGCTATACATCATTTAGTTGTAACCGACGGAAATATGTAACTTGGATAATCGTCGATACTCGATAGTTATAATTAATTATTCATTTATGTGTACCTGAGAAACTGAATTTCTGTTTTAACAACCAATCTCACTAATTTCAGTCTATAGTCCAGAATATTCAATTGTTTGAAAACAAAAAAAGTAATTTGTATACATACTTTGAATAAGTTTCTAATAACGGTTTAATACCTGATATGAAAAGCTGGTGAAAATGTAAATGATTGTGCCAGAATAACAGGTTCTTGCTACACTGTAATGTATCTCGGTTCATAGTAATGAAGATATTTCCTACATTGATAAAACGTTTATTCAGGTATCGTGGATGTGTACAACTGAATAGTTCCATACGAGGAAGAAACGTTCATCTAGTGCTTTCAAGTGTTCAGTGGTGATCTAACATTCATCCATTCATGATATTAATTTATACTCAACAATCTTCACAACCCTATACTGATAATTAAAGTGCAGTGAACGAACTCATGTGGGGAAGACCAATTTTTTTGTTTAATGCAAAATTATGGAGGGTCGTAGTAAAACATGAAAACCATACACTAAATATATCGTTTGCACATTATCCTTCAGTTGCCTTTTACAAACTTCATCATTCCTTAATTTCTGTTAACATTTCGATTTCTTTAAGTTTTCTTCAATCTTCTCTTCATTCCAATCTTCTCAATCTTTGTTGGCATGCAATCCACTTCCCATTGGTGCTGCATACTACTTACATTTGTCAAAATAAAGAGCATATACCACAATAGGTATTAAATACATAAGTAATAAACATATTAGATTTCGATAATCGTTTAAGATGATGTAGTTACTCAAATTTACTTATTAAATAATTTCAGTTTCTGATAAATACAACAAAAGAGAGGCATTAAAGTTAATGACTTACAGAGTAAGAATCCACAATGCAATAAATGCTCCATCCTCTGGAATAAGAACTGATTCACCAATGTAATGAATCAGTTGTTGCATATCCTCCTAATTTATCAAGAAAAAATAAAAATCAGAATAAGAATGTAGAAAAGATGAACAATAATTATCAAAATGCAAAATGGATTCGTAACACTGTCAAGTGAGTAAACTGTTACTGGTAATAAAAATCACACAACGATTGAAATTAGATTAGTCTTAGTAGTGTGGATCATCGAATACCAGCTCACTATTAGTCGAAAAGTGACACGAACACATCTACGTTTCAAATGTCTAGGTTTAATGACTGTTAGTTTTCATATAAATCCCATCCTCAGACTAAACATGAATCGTATGCATTATGGTTTCCAATGACTATCTACTCAAAGTTAGTTTATGGAATCATTAGCGTTAGAAACTAGGAGTCTTCATAAATCTCACACCTGAGGGAAGGTTATGAACCGGAAAATCAACAAATCTCTTAAATATTTTTAGAAAACAGAAACTCTTCTATCACATACAGAGCATACGACTTGAATTACTGAGTGGTAAAGTAATTCCTATTTTTATAAAGAGTACACCACTTTCCACGAATCCGTTATCATTAAACTCTTCATTTGATATATAATCTCCGAATTTTCATTGACAGTATTTTAGGTGAGTAGTTTGTAAATTGATAGAAACGAAACGTCAGTACGAGCTTAACATTGGTCGGATTTATATAAGGTTCACCTCTGATAGCCAAATGATCAATCCGTAGGACTTAATTTTTCAGCTAAAGTTCGGTTTGAAGACTAATTTGGGTAATTACATTTTGGTCACGATAACTTGGAGGATAACAATTTCGGATCTACAACTAATGCCACATATAATTATATACTACTGTACAGTTTGAAAGTAGTTATATATTATACGCTAAATTAATTCAAAGTTGTTCAACTTCACATGAAACAAAAATTCAGATCTAATTTGCAACTATTTGAATAATCTCATTGTTAGTATTCTTGATTGAACTATGATCAGTATTAAATCGTATATATGCGGACTGCTTAATTACGCGTACATTAGGGAGTTGAAACGAAATGCATAGTGTTCGAGTTCCTGTACGAATGTAAAAACTAGGGTACAAGTACGTCCATCTAGCGAGTCACAAATAGAACGAAACCCGTGTTTTAAACCTAAATGTTAACTACAGTTCATATATTCTGGAAACCCGTTTCATCTTTCGTTTGTAAATATAAAAACCCAGTTTAAACGCATGAATATTTTTTGATAATTTCTTATCACTCTATACAGTCTACACAAACTTCTGAGTTCAGAAAAAGTCATAATATTTTCCATTAAAATTCGTTAACAGAAACATTACCATAATATTAACCTTCAGTCTTTTCTAATTAGATTTACTGTCTTAATCTACATATCTACCTTTATGAAAGTCGAGATATTCTCAAAAAGTTGATATTTTACGGTATAAAAATTATAGGAGTTTATTACTTATACACATGTATGTTTGTAAGGACTTAAAAAGAATTAAAGAATTAGACAAAACAACAGTAAAGCAAACCCTCAGTTAGCTTAAATACTTACCAGTATAGTGAGGTAAGGAGTATAAGGATAAAAATAAGACTTCAAAGATTTTATTAGATGGTACAAATAATTCACATTGCCAAGACAGAATAATAATAAAGCTAAGTGCTCTGTCGCTAGACTGGTAGGTCCTTGGTTCGAATCTCGCAAGTGCGGGATTGTGGATGCGCACTGATGAGGAGTCCCATAGTAGGACGAAACGGCCGTCCAGTGCTTCCAGGTTTTTCATTGTGACCTAGCTTCAATTGACTTACGCTTTCAACTATAAAATATTATGAGGTTGGTGATAACTGATTAAATAACTTGACAAATGAACAAATAAGTTGATAACAATTAAAAAATAATATGCCTAAAATGTATTGAGTATCGCTGGTTAAGTAATGTTACAATATAAGCCACAATGGAGTTGAAACTTTGCTAGATCCTTAACGAATACTCTATCTTCAATCCTCAAATATTTTTCCAGGCTTTATCTATCAAGGCCCTAAGACCCTGATTATTGAGCCGAAACTAGTTACCTTTGCGTTAGATATGCATTTTTTTATGTGGTTCCTAAATTTTCTACTCAACTCTCATTCCATTAATAAAATTACTCTTAGCTAATAAAAGCGTAATGAAATATGATTGGTTCGCTGCTTATACTCTTTTAAAAAAGGGCTTTTGGATTACTTTGTACTATGATATTTAATAAACATTGTTTAACCGTACATTTTTCTGTTTTTCAGTGTTCAAACCATATCTAATCTGTTTAATATTACAATCAAATGGTCTTTATAATATTTGTGAAATACATTTCTTAACTAAGGTTAATTTCGATAGTTGAGATCATGAATCAATTAAAGCTAGATCACCATGGAAAACCTGGAAGCATTGGATAGCCGTTTCGTCCCAGTATGAGACTCATCAGCGGTGCGCATCCGCGATCACGTCTCGCGAGATTCGAACCCAAGACCTATCACGTTTTTCATGGTGGTCTAGCTTCAATCGATTCATGATTTCAACTATTAAAATTCACTACAGTCGACACAAACTAATCTGTAGGCATAATTCAATTAGGATGTTAACGGAATCTTATCTTTAATTCCAACTAAAGCATTTCGTTGAGTAGTGGTTGCTCTACTTGTTTCATCTGTAAATAAAGTAGGCTATCAAAAAATCAGACTGGTCAATAACAAAATGGTTTATAAGAACAGTTAGAGTAGATTTAATCATTGACTAAGTTGTTTCAAAAAATGTAGGTGAAGAAACTATAGTGGTCGGTATTCGATATTATCCTTAAACTTTGTATATTCTTCGTCCTGATCGAGTGTACGGTGTAAAGTATGTTTCACTGAATGATCCATAACTAGAGCGAAGTAAAGTTTGTATAACTTCTATCTATATAATATAACTGCATTGTTAATATCAACTTTATATTCCAAAAGATGAATAAATGAATCAATCAAGTATGTATGTATCAAATAAGAACATGACGTAAAATAAATCTGATGGATCTTAGTCAAATCTATCAATTTCGAATTCTGGAACTTGTTTCCCATAGAATTTATACGTTATGTTTAGTGTTTATCCTTATTGCTATACATAATGATAATGAAATAAATCTTAATTAATGATATCCACAATAAATTCGTCAATTTCTTTTTGATTATTGTAGAACTTAATGAGAATTAACCGCAGTTAATAAATTTCATTCCCAAATGTTTTATTCTAACAAATTGGGAATTTTAAAACAATTGTCAAACTCATTTAGTATTGTTTGTTTGAATCTTCCCATCGATGTGTTAGGACTGCAACTGGTCAGTCTCTAATTGGCATATGTGCATACTGTGCGTATTGACTCGATATAGCCTTAATTCATAAGCATTGTAAGCAAAAATGGATAGTGGCTAGTAGTGGAATCCAGTTTGACGCGCGTTTCGTCCTATTTGGGACTCGTCAGCTGGATGTATCTGCATCTCAGAGTTGATGTTCACTCTGGGATTCAAACCCAGTACCTTTCGCTTCAAACGCCATCACTTTATCCGCTCGGCCACTGAGTCTTGATAGCCACTACTCATTGTCGAACTATTCATATGTCTTGACTTTCTAACGACGAAAGAGTCTGTTGGCAAATATTCCATATAGTTTGTGTACATACTTGTATTTGTATAGAAAACTGTAAAATATCAGCTCATGAAAATGACAGTTTGATAGATCTCCACTTACTTCACTACAATTGTTTCAATAGTATGTATCATGTTCTATAAAATAAAGATGTTATTTCTAGATGCTAAACATCTTTGATTAACTCCGCCTGGAGCCATTATGAGGCTACTGCCGGTCCTAGGCTCGGTAAAAGGAGGAGGGTTGAGTATGGGGTTAGTGATCACATCCCTTAGAAAACTAACTCGTTAAAAAACATTAACTATATAAGCTATGTTCATACTTTTGATTGTATCTGTTTTTAATCGTTTTTATATGTGACTACTATAGATCAGGTTGTGTTTTTTTTTTATGTAACCAGAGTTAAATTGAAGGGAATAAATCATATTTATTATCCTTCAGTATTTTTAACTATCCTCTTTTGTCGGAGAAATACATGTTTTAAGCTAATATTAAGACATAATGGAACATTTGATAAGGTGATCAAATTCACTTAACACTCAGATAAACATCATTCATTGTTCATTATAATTTTTTTTTCAGATGAATGGTAATGTTATTTCATACCCAAAGGTAATAAGTATTGATTTGAATCTTGGGTAGTCGTTAAGATAGTAGTTGAGATTAATGGTTTATAAGAACAGTTAGAGGAGATTTAATCATTGACTAAGTTGTTTCAAAAAATGTAGGTCAAGAAACTATAGTGGTCGGTATTCGATATTATCCTTAAACTTTGTATATTCTTCGTCCTGATCGAGTGTACGAGTTTTTGAAAAGGATTACAATATACATATATATACATATAGAAATGAATGAATCATCGAGTCAATCAAGCGACTACTCATAGTAAAGCTAGTAGAATGAATATATCTGTAGGCAGTAAGCAATTCTCAAGGATACATATTCATACAAGCGCAACAATAATATAGGTACAGTGATATAGATAACGGTATTAAAAATCATTACACGCGACATTATTAATGCGAGTTTATTTTTCTTATTTCAGGGCAACAAAGAGTAAATGCACTGGAAGAAGAAGAAGTTCTATGCGATCTGAACCTGCAGAACAACGAGTAAAACTATTTTGTAATAAGTTTCCCTTTTTGTACTCAAACCGCGTCTTTCAATTACAAATATATATCTGTTACGCCAGTACACCTTATTCTCACTTCATAGGCACTTATCAGTCCTGACTGTTGTGTTGTTGTTTCAGGTCGTTCCTGCTCCCAAGTGAACATAGAAATATAACGTCCTACAGTTATTGTACGAATGAATCTATCCGTTAAATAAGTTAACAAAAGTGCTTAACCAAATTAAATATGAACAAACTCAATTGTACATGACCTGTTATAAAACCTACAAACCTAGCCAATAGAGCATAATAATAATAAGTTAATTGAGGATTCTCCTAATCGGATTGTAGCATTGATGCCTATATAGTATTATAGCAACCATCCTATAATCAATTCCGATTATAGTCAATTTTGGTTAAGCCCTTTTTATTAACTTACTTAACAGACATCGTCATTTGGATAGCAACAATTTGCATATTCTTTGCACTGCTATACCACTAGAGCACATGACACTATCCGAAATGTTGACTGCTTAAATATCATTCGATGACTCATACTCCTCCCCATATGTGTACGCACGCAAATATTATTATCAGCCTTTGTTTTGCTTTGCTGTGCCCTTATTATATTTGACTATAAATTGCCTATGTAATTACTTGCTATTCGTCTCGTTCGTTTCCTTTGCTTGTTCGCCTGTTCACCCGCTCTCTCGCTTGCCGCTCACTCGCTCGTTGATATTCGCTCAGGTGTTGTTAGCTTTTTGACCTGAGTTATTCGACAATAAACTGTAGTTGCTGTTATCCTTCGTCTTCTGATTTTACGCACCGTTAAGTTTAGAATTATAACGGTTATCGAAGTAAACGATTAACGAATCGCGGCACTACAGTATCTAGTTCTCCTATGAGATTGAGCTGTACTGTTTGGGTTGCCGTGTGAAAGTCTGGATAGTATCTGGTTATCCTGAAAACCAGTGCAAAATTACCCTGGCCCATAAGGGTATATTATATAAGTATAAACTGTAACTAATAACTCCTAATCATCGTAACACTTGTTTTTCAAAGTTGAAATCATGAGTCAATTGAAGCTGGACAACCTTCGAAAACCTGGAAGCACTAGACGGCCGTTTCGTCCTATTTTTGGATTCCTCATCAGTGCGCATCCACGATCCCGCACTCGCGAGATTCGAACCCAGGACCTACCAGTCTTGCAACAGAGCCCTTGACCGATAGACCATAAAGCTGGTCGGCATCCAACGGTGTTAATGTCTAACTTCAACCGATCCACGAATTATGAGCGTGGTTGAACTCCACTAGTCACTGCTTCCCACTATAACTCCAGGACATGTGTCTTGAAGTCAGTCATATGCTCACTAGTGACTGACTTCAAGGGAGACTTCCTTGAGATCCAGTGGGAAGCAGTAACCAATGGAGTTCAACCAGGTTTGTTGTAGAGATATCAACTCACCGAAGATATTGGTCAATGGTTGCTCAAAAATATCGTGGATTGGTTGAAGTTAGATATTAACACCGTTGGATGCCGACCAGCTCAGTGGTCTATCAGTTAAGTGCTCTGGCACAATACTGATAGGTCCTGAGTTCGAATCTCGTGAGTACGGGATCGTGGATGCGTACTGATGAGGAGTCCAACAATAGGACGAAACGGCCGTCCAGTGCTTTCAGGTTCTCGATGGTGGTCTATCTTCAATTGACTCATGATTTCAACTTTGAAAAATACTGAAATCTCCACAAAACCCCTTCTGATTATAATACTTATTATTAAAAATTTTTAAAAAAAAAAAAATTAAAATAAAAAATGACAAACCTGTGTCATATTAATTGGAGCTTTTCCTATATCTTCTTTATTATTATTTATCCCAAATTTACTAATTTGTGGTATTTGTGGCATTGAAACTTGTGGTGTTGGAATTTTCTTTAATACTTCAGTAAAATTCATCTTCTTTAATCTTTTTTTTTTTTTGAAATATATCAAAGTAAATATTCTTTTAAACAAGAATTAATCTATTGTTTCTATGTTAATTAATACTTGACAACAAAATTCTAATGATTTCCAAATTCACAATACCTTAATATTTCAATATATAAAGCGTATGCTAAAAATTATTTTTATTTTTATTTTCTATCTTCTCTTCATAAACTTATTATATTTTTTTTTTTGAAATCATTCATTGTAACCTAAAAAATAAAAAAAAATTATTGATTAATTATATACTCTATTTATGATTGGTTAATAATAAATTTCAATGCCCAATCATTAGAACCAATCATAGATGACCTTGAAAAAGTTTTAGTTTCCCTGATTATATTTTGTTAGCCAGTATCGTTGACATATATATATAGATATTATTGATTAAAAAGAAGTACAAATATTAATCAATAAATGATGTTAAAATATATATTCTTAATAATGAGAAAATGAATAAAGAAAAATCTCACAAGGCAGGATCGTGAATGAACACTACTGAGGAATGAGTTCCACAATAGAATGAAACGATCATCCAGTGCTCAAGTGATTCATGATTTCAACTATTAAAAAGAAAATAGTAATAGAGAATACTTTTAAATTCAGTCAAGAAAATGTTTACTTTATAGAAGTAATATTTTATGCATAATTGAAAAATTAAAATACAAACAAAATAAAGAAAACTATTTTTGTTTTAAGCAAAGATGGATAGTGGCTAGTAGTGGAATCCAGTTTGACGCGCGTTTCGTCCTATTTGGGACTCGAACCCAGTACTTTCGCTTCAAATTGTATCGGGTTATCCACTCGACCATTGAATCCTGATAGCCATTTGCTTGTGAGATGGGATGAAGTTTAAATTCACTTAGTATTGTTTGTTTGAATCATCCCGTCGATGTGTTAGGACTGCAACTGGTCAGTCTCTGGATTCCACTGCTAGCCACTATCCATTTTTGCTTATCATGCTTGTGAATCAAGGCTAATATCTAGGCAATACGCACAGTATGCACATATGCCAATTAGAGACTGACCAGTTGCAATCCTAACACATCGATGGGAAGATTCAAACAAACAATACTAAGTGAATTTATTTTTGTTTTATTTATCAATTTAAATTAGTAGATAGAAATTAGCAAATAGAGGTTGACGATGAGTAAATTTCTGTAAACGTTTGCAAGCGTTATAGCAATAACGGTAACAATAATAATAGATTGTGATCATGAATTGATTGATTTTAGACCATCCGAGAAAACCTGGAAGTGCTGGATGGCCATCTCGTCCTAGTATGGGATTCTTCAACAGTGAACGTTTATGACCTCGCACGTGGAGTTCGAATCCAGGATCTTCAGTTTCCCACGCGAACGCTTAACCCTTACACTTTTGAGCTGGCATCCAACGGTGTCATTGTCTAACTTCAATCAATCCACAAAATTGCGCGACCGTTCCATTATCTGAAGTAGATACCTGTTTCTACTTGACATGGATTGGGTGAGGTTAGACATTAACACAGTTGGATGCCAAGTCGGTGGTCTTCAGGTTAAGCTTTCGCGTGCAAGACCGAAGGTCCTTGGTCAGAGTCCCGTTTTCGGGATCGTGGATGAGCACTGATGAAGAGTTTCATGCTAGGATCAAACGGCTGTCCAGTTTTTCCAAGTTTTCAATGGTCTTTTGACATCGATTGGTTCACGATTCCGATTAAAAACTTAATAATCTTTACAACCCCATATTGATAATAATAATTGAAGAAGAAAGGAGGCGATTCAGCGATTTCATTTACTTAAACTTTACAATCACGTTTATAGTTAGTTTCATTTGCTAAAATAATGGTCTGTAGTAAAATAGAACATTTAGAAAGACTTGAAGTTGTATCTTGTTATGAATTGTTAACGAAAATCAGATATTGAAGGAAAGTTATGTAATAATGGGCTAGTAGAAAGCACTAAGGTGAGGATAATTGTCTTAAAACTAATCTGATAACAAAATAAAAGTAAACCTTCTCAGGGACATTATCTGTCAACTCTATAGCTCAGAATATTTCCCATACACTTAAATAGCATATCTGTAAGTCCCCTTGAATTTTAATTGATATTCACACATTATGCAAGTGAAATCGGCTAATAGTCTTAGACTTTGGTGTACTGAGTTTATTTGTGAAATAAAACTTAATGATAAACTGCTAGCAAATAGCTAATAGCCATTCAAATAACGTCTATTACGGATCGTTTTCCTTATCTCCTTTATTTGTGTTGCTTAGGTCATGACCTGATCAAAGAATACAGCATAAAAGAGATAAAGTGATTGCTTGATATAATTCTATTTATTCTTAATTCATTAGCTCAATACCAACTAATTTACTCTTAATGATAATAATAATAATAATAATAATAATAATAATAGTGATAATAACGATTATAATTTTATATGGTTGAGATCATGAGTCGATTGAGGCTAGACCACCATGGAAAACCTGGAAGCACTGGACGGTCGTTTCGTTTTATTGCGGGACTCCTCATCAGTGTGCATCCACGATCCCGCCTCAAGAGATTCAAGCTCAGGACCTACCAGTCTCGAGACAGAGCACTTAACCGATAGACCACTGAGCCAGCACCCAACGGTGTTAATGTCTAACTTCAACCAATCCATGAAACTGAGCGACAATTTCACCAATGTCTTCAGTAAGTTACTATCTCCCAACAGACCTGGTTAAACTCCACTGCTAACTGCTTCTCACTAGAACTCCAAGAAATATCTCATGGAGCCAGTCACTAGTGAGCATATGATCATTATCAGAAGGGGGTTTTGTGGAGAACAACTATATAAAGATTAGTAAAATCTCCACAAAACCCCCTTCCGATTATAATTTTGTTAGTATTCTTACTATCGATAATGATAATAATGTCATTACTACTATTATTATTACTGATCATAATCATACTAATGAAAAAAATGATTTCTAAAGATTTCATGAGTTTATGAAATGTTATAATATAAATATTGAAAGGTTACAACACAATACTCTTAGAATAATTTGTACTTGAGTAAAGATGTTCCTTTAACTAGTGGAATAAAATGGAAAGTCTACACATTGGCATTAAGTACTTGGAATTGTTGAAATTAAAGTTGTCCGATAAGGTCACACTTGAGATAGGCTCATGTTAAACTTTAAAATTTTATGCCTTTCATTAAACAATAGATATGTAAAAAAAAATATGGATTTTTAAGGGCTGGTATTATGTCAAGCCCACATAGGGTACTTTCGATAGTGTAATAAGAAGACGAAGTTTATCAGAACTCTAGCCTTTGGACAGAACAATCTATTCATTCTTCTCAAGTCACATTTTTATCCTGTCACTTATTTCGCTTATCAATCTTGACTGTTTTTATGTAAGTGTATGTGTGTGATTTTCATATCTTACTCATCACACGTCTTGTAACTTATTTTTGGTCTGACTATAAGTATCGATACACACTTGGTTAAATTGAGCTGACTTACTCTCCTTCACCATTGGGCATCATTTAGTCCCGCTTCTTTCTCTTCTCTTCGTTTCCTTCTCTTAGTCTCCCTGATTGTCTGTTCAGATCAATTATTATATGAGAATATACATATTCAAACTTCATTCTTGTATTTGACTTATTCAGTCCCGTTATTCACTAACACGAGCTAATGTCGATAATTATATACGAGGATAGTTGGGATGTATATTTCAATAACAATCATTCATACGATAATCACACGATCAAATTACAGTCAGATCTCAGGCCGCTAAAAATCTTTTGTTGTAAACGTTAAGAACCCTAATGAGTTTATAAATTTTCCAAATCTCAAGATGAAAGTATACCTAGTTGAAGAATCCATCTAAATAAATTCGAATTCTTTCTTACTGGATAGTTTACAACGTTAGTTTCGTAAACATTTTCCCGTGATTTTCATATTGTATATGAGTATACACAGTAATGAGTTAACTTAATAACATTGATAGATAGTGTGATGAGTAAATATATAACTAAGGCATTTTTGATATGAAGTTGAGTAATAAATATTCAATTATCCATTTAATTGTTTAACAGCAGATATTGATAACATGTAACAGTAGTTTACAAGTATGGTTATATAAAAATCTAATATAACCCAGTACCTTTCGCTTCAAACACCCCATTGCACAAGCAAGTGGCTATCAGGACTCAGTGGTCAAGTGGATAACCCGATGGTGTTTGAAGCGAAAGGTACTGGGTTCGAGTACTAGAGTGAACATCAACTCTGAGTTGCAGGTACATCCAGCTGACGAGTCCCGAATAGGATGAAACGCGCATCCTGTATTCCACTACTAGTCATTATCCATCTTTGCTTACAATACCATGTGAATTTTTGTGATAAATAGTTATTTAAAAAGTATGTAAACTAGTTTGTTAAAGGTTAACCACCAACGTATCACGTTTCCTGTATTGTATACAAGCATCGTTATTGAACAAGGGAACTGAATTACTACTCCTTATTGTTTAAATTAATTCATAGGCAATTGAATGATAGCTTATTGAGTTGTCCCATAATAAATGTTATGAAAATCTTTAAATTAGATCTCGCACATTCAGAATAAGGCATTTATTAGAATATTTTGATCGAACAAATATGCTCATTATTTTGTATTTCATATATCTTATTAACTTTTGTTTGATTTTAGTGGGGTTTTGTTCTCTGAGCTGGATGGTTTGGTCATGGAGCTTTCATCGTCCTTTTGAACGACATCATCAGCACTTCTTTCGATTACTAATATCACTATTCTTTTGAATCCTTTACTGTTCACCTAGTTGACTGCTTCAATTTGTTTTGACATGCTTCTTGGACGTGGAATGTTATACTTTTATGCCAGATTGCACTTTGGTAATAATAATAATAATGCTTGTTTAATTCATTAACATATGTTCGATTACAGTAAACAATTCTAAGCATTAAATATGTAGATATTACTACAAGATTCCCGTTTACTAAACATTTAACAAGTGGGTTTTCAAAAGGTATTCATAAAAATTCTATATTAGTAGGGTGATTTAAAGTTTTCAGATTGAATTCTATGTGGGGTTAAGACCAAATTCCACTTACCATTATTATCCCATTTACTTTATTAGTTGGGTTAGAGAATGCTGGTCGATGGCCTTTGCTCCATTGGGAGTAACAGGCGTAAGTAAGTAAGTTACTTTATTAGTCGTAATTTATTGTGATTCCAATTTACAATAACAATAGCTTCATTATTTAATAAACTTTTATTTCTAACTGATTTGTATGTTTATTTGTTATTTCATCCACTCCAAAGTAGTTTTGTGCTGATTGTGTGAGT